GACAAAAGGGGGGGGGGGGGGACAGAACACATTTTGAGGGGGGAAATGTATGGCCTACAGAATGCACCAAACCTTGGGGCAATAATGTTAAAGACCTATGGAACATGAAGGATTTCTCCCCTTCTGAGTGAGGGCCGGAAGCATCGCCCTCTCTCTCGCTTGGCTTTGACCTGAGTTCTATGTTTTTTTTTAAAATAGGCACCATGGTAGCAAGGCTGTTTTAAACTTGCTGTTCAATTCATAAGTTATAACGTCTCTCAAACCTTGGGATTTTTAACGTGTCTCTAGCCAGACCATGGCAGGGTTGGGCAGTCTCTGGAGGGGGCTGATAAGAAGAAAGGGTTGTGCCCCACCCATGACGAAGCAACATAAGCCGGCCGTGCACTGCATTTCACATTCCTGCACTCCTGAAGTCAAGGAATGAAGGACCTATCCCAAGATCTGCGGGACCTGGAAGGTATTTATTTTATTTCGTGTTTTATTATATTTCTATCCAACCCTCCCCACGAGCCGGCTCAGGGTGGGTTGCAATCAGTTAAAACACGACAAGTCACGCGTGGAGTGGAGGGTTTAAATTCTGATAGAGTCATAGGTTTTATAGACTCAAGGCTTTATGTTCTATGTCTGCGGCAATTCTAAGTGAGCAAATGGGCATGCCTATGCCGGTTGACCCCCGTGTCCAGGCCACACAGGCACCACAGGCAACGGATGAAACGCATATAGCCCCTCACCAATACATCTCCGAGGAAGCGGGTATGTGGCGCTTTTGGGGGTCTATGCCGTTCAAAGGGGTGGCAAATTTTAGGATTAATTCCCTCTCTTTCCCCTCTTTTTACAGTTGTAATCCCCAAAGGGGAAATGGCTGATCCTACCCAGAGGGCGTTAGCTACACCTGGCAGAGGCCCTCATCAATTGTCTGCTACATGGGACAGAATTCCTCCCCAACAAGCGGCTCCTACACATGGCAGATCCCCTCCACAGGTGGCTCCTTTGCCAGGCAGAGCCCTCCAGCAAGTGACTGACCAGCTGGCCAGACCTGTTCCAGAAGCGGTCATGGAATCAGGTAAGATTTCTCTGAAGCCTTAAACATTCTTTAAATGTAACCAACTGGACCTTTTTTGAGCAAAGTGTTTTGCCCCGCTTGCCACACTGATTCTGCTTTCTCTCTGTGTGTGGTGGTGGTGGGAGGAGGTGTAAAAGTTCAAGAACATTTTAACCCGTTGTAGATAAGATTTATTTATTTATTTTATATTTATTTATTTATTTTCATACTTATACCCCGCCCTCCCCAGTGGGCTCAGGGCGGCTCACAGAGGCAAGAACAACTTGCCATGATAAAACAATATATACAAAACAGTTTAAAACATATACTACATATTAAAATATAATAACAGGTGCTCAAACTCCCATTCATAATCTAAAAGATGGCGGATTGAATGTCCAAAGTCCCACGAAGACGGCAGGAGGATTCTTCGATAGCAGATGTT